GGGAAAGAGAGGGAGAGAGAAGGGGAAAGACTGAGTTGCAGATGGAGCACAGGATTGCAAAGGGCTTTTCATTCCAGCCAACGAGGGCCGGTTTTCACGCATCACAGAGGGGGGCTCATAGGAAGAGCCCATGCCCAGGCAGATGCCTCGGATGGTGGGGGCAATGGCTCCCAAAGAACTGATTCAAAAGAGTCACATGCATGGTCACCTATGATTAAAAGGAGTTATTTTGGGGTGAGTGCCTTTTGGAATTTTTACTTACTGTGATATTTTTAACGTTTATTTTATATTTTTCATAAGAGACAGAGAAAGTGGGGAGGGAGAAAGACAGGCGCCCCAACACGGTCTTTGTGCTGCAGTTGACCCCCCAGCCTCAGCTAGTCTAAATCACGTGCCCATGTCCCGAGTGTACAGGAGGCCTTGAAAGTGAACCCAGGACCTTCCATTGGGCCTGGCTCCATGGTGTGGCATTTCGGTTGCACCCCTGCTGGCCCCCCTCGCCTACTGCTTCAGTCGTACACATTAACATAACCTTTACCATGTTTCCCTGCTTCACGTGTTCGACGAGACCTTGATCTTTTTTTTTAAAGAGAGATTTTTGATATAGGGCATGTGCGCTCGCTGGAGAGACAGAGAGACAGAAAGTGAGAAATCACCCCTTAGGGGGATGGCCATGCCACAGTCCCTTCTCCCCCAGTCTCCTCTTCAGATTTTGGGCATGCATGCACACACACACACCCGGTTGCACACACGTCCAGCATGAGTTTTAAGCCGTCAGGTCTAGGACTGGAACTGCGGTTGACTACATGGGAGTCTAGCGATGTAACCATTATGCCATCTGCTGGTACCTCCTCCCTTCTTTTCTTTAAGAATTATTTAATTTAATTTAATTTATTATCATTATCTTAATTTTATTTTTTTAAAGTGGACCAGAGAGAGACAGAGAAAGAGAGAGAAAGAAAGTGAAGAAAAGCAAGCTGCCGGGTCTGAGACTCGAACCCTGGTTAATCATGTGGAAGCCCAGCTGCCTTAACCACCATGCCACCTGCTGGCCCAGATGAGACCTTGATCTTGCCCACCATGATCTTGCCACTGTAGGTAAGAACTTTGATGAATTGTTGGCCCCATGGTTGGTGAGGGCTGACCAGGTAAGACATTTTGGCAAAATATCTATTTGCGTCTTTGAGA